CCATCCCTGCATGTTATAGAATTAAAAACACCATCATGTAGCCTTTGTTCAATAGCATCAACAGATTTATGTGACACATTCTGTGACATATCATCTGCATATATATTGATATTTAGACGCTTCAGGCATGTTAGATAATCATTTACAAATAGAATAATAACAGACGCCCAGGTGGAGTTCCCTGTGGCATTGTTAATTATTTTTTATAAGACAAGACACTTTTCCATGTTGTTATCTTTCACCAATGAAGGATATGAAGATAACGAACAGTATTCAATACCAAAGTCCATAAAGCAATACATAATAGGAGTAGAGTAAACACGGACCTCCAAAACGTCCGGTAAGAATGAAACTATTCAAAAGATCTGTGACAAATGCCATATTATAAAAGCTTTTGCAAAAATGATTCAGGATATAAAGTATCAAAGGCTGTACTAAGATCAATTTAAAGAACAGCCAATTTTCCATTTTTTCATTACTAGTATGCCCCCTTAAACGAAGTTTCGGGGTATATATTTTTCGTTGTGTCTGTCTGTCCGTCTGTCTGTCTAGCTGTTTGTTTGTCCACAGAAACTTTAACCTTGCCTATAACTTTTGATTTAGTAGAGCTTTGACCTTGGAGTTTGACCCACTGTAACACAAAAATTTTCGTCTTTTACTTTGGCCATATTTTTTGCACAATATACGCCAGGATATTTATATTTGTCATGTGTATTTTTTGTGGAAAGACCTTTCATTGGATACCAACAACCTTTACCTTTTGACCTTTACCTTGCAGATTTCCGTACCTATGAAAAAACTTTAATATTGGCTATAACTATTGAACAATTAGTACTACGGCTTTCATACTTCACATATATTATCCTAATAAAAAGACCTTCCATTGGATATTAAGAACCTTGACCCTTTGACTTTGGAGTTTGACCTACTTTAAAGATACAACATTGACCGTAATTTTTGAAGGATTCGGACTAGGGTATTCATACTTTACATATTAAATCCTTGTGACAAGACCTTTCATTTGATATCAAGAACTTTGACTTTGACCTTGGAGTTTGACTTACTTTTTACAAACTTACACCTTGACCATAACTTTTGAAAAGTAGAGGCTAGATCTTTCATATTTCACATGTGTAATCCTTGTGACAATACCTTTCATTGGATATCAAGAATTTTGACCCTTTGATCTTGACCTTAGAGTTTGACCTATTTTTTACAAACTTTAACCTCTGCCATAACTTTTGAACGGTTAGGGTAGCGCTTTCATACTTCCAATACGTAATCTTTGAGACAAGGCATATCTTTAGAACCCAACAACCTTGACACTTTGACCTTGACCCAGAGTTTTTCCTATATTATAAATTGTTAACCTGGGTCATAACCCTGGAACAGGTGTAGCTAGCGTTTTATATTTCGCATTTTTGTGAAAAGGCCTTGCTTTGGTACCAACATATTTGATCTGCATTTGAGAAAGCTTAACCTTCGCTGTGTTGCCATATGGGGGCATCAGTGTTTCACAAACACATCTTGTTTTGCTGATTCATTTAGCAATAATGTTATGCAGTGCCTTTTTACATGAATGTTTTGGCCTATACGATATAAAATTTTTCATCCATTCAAATAAAGTGTTACACCTAAAATTAGATTAATTCACATTCAAGTTAGATCTTGGCAATCGCATCTAAGCATTCAACCATTTTTTATATAAATTGCAGCAAGCCCTGTAGCCTTAGAAATCGATTTAGCTTTTAATTGTTGTTTAAATAAATCATTAGAAATATTTGGAATGTTTAAAGACCTTTTAGACAGAACAGTACAATTTCGGGCAATAAATTATCAAGTCTATGTCCAACGCCATAAAAGAAATCTTTGACAATATTGGCCATAATTTTTACACTAGAAACACTCCACTTGTGAAATTAGATAAACATGTAGTAGGTCCAATTTAAGACAACCGTAAAAAACAATTGACTTTTTTTCATAATTCTTGAGAAGAATGACCACTTTCCTTCCATACCCAAGAAACGGAAGAAAAAACCCAGACTGCTTCCAGAGGAATAGGATACAAACAGAAAGACTTATTCCATATTCTGAATGGAGGACCTCATGGAGGACATCATTAAATGTTCGAGATTTTAAATCGCACTTAGTATTAGAAATATTACTATGAACATGAAAACTAACCTTACATCTTCTACAAAGGGAAATACAAATGTATTTATTGATTCCTGTATGCAAGAAAACTTTCAATTACAAGGAGATTAGTAGTAAAATTACTGAATACAATATTATCCGAATTTGATGAAAGAAAATCTAAGAAATATAAGAATATTGACAGTCTCATTTATAGTCATTATTTCGTACGTTCTATGGTCGATATCATGAACTTGTCAGCGATTACAGTCTATCATTAAGGTTTTGTACCAGTAAATTCGAGATTATTTTATTTTACCACCAGATTTTAGAGAATAAAATAGAACAAGAGGCCCAGGGGCCAGAGCGCTCACCTGAGCACATCAGCTAGGAAAAAGCACTCATCATGATTTGGATGAACTAGAATCTACGCTACCTGAGAATAATTCTACATAAAAAACAAATCGAGGCTTTGAAGTACTTGGAAAGAATTCGAAGATTTTAAAAGGTTTCCCTTTATTTTCCTATGAGAACTAATTTTGGTCGGCCATTTTGGCCCCATCCTACCTCCCGGGGTCATGATTTTAACAAACTTGAATTTACACTATCTGAGGATAATTTTACACGAGTTTCATTTTTACAGTCTCAATGGTTCTTGAAAAGAATTTTTTTAACGATTTTTCCTATACATGTATACTCCTAGTTAAAACTTTAATCAGCCAGTTTGGCCCCACCCTACCCCGGGGGTCATGATTTGAACAAACTTGAATCTACACTATCTGAGGATGAATCAATTTGAGTTTCATCTTTCCTGGCCCTGTAGTTCTTGAGAAGAAGATTTTTTCTATATAATCCTATGTAAAACTTTGATCAGCCAATTTGGCCCCACCCTACCCCCGAGAGTCATCATTGAACAAACTTTAATCTACACCATCTGAGGATAATTTCACTTGAGATTCATTTTTCCTGTCTCAATAGTTCTTGCGAAGAATTTCTGAAAAAAAAACTTTTCCTTTATATTCCTAGGTAAAACTTTTATCAGCCATTTGGCCCAACCTTACCCCCCGGGGGTCATGATTTGAACAAACTTGAATCTACCCTATGTGAGGATGAATCCATATGAGTTTCATCTTTCCTGGCCCTGTGGTTCTTGAGAATAAGATTTTTAAAGATTTTCCCTATATAGTGCTATGTAAAACTTCGATCAGCCATTTTGGCCCCATCCTACCCCCGGGGGTCATGATTTGAACAAACTTGAATCTACACTATCTGAGGATGATTCCACATGAATTTCATCTTTCCTGGTCCTGGGGTTTTTGAGAAGATTTTTTTTAAATGGCATTAATTTTTCTCAAATTCATAATTATCTCCTCTTGGAAAAGGGCGTGTTGTTCATTTGAACAAACTTGAATCCCCTTTACCCAAGGATACTTTGTAGCAAGTTTGATTGAAATTGGCCCAGTGGTTCTTGAGAAGAAGATGAAAATGTGAAAAGTTTACAACGACAGACAACGGACAAATTTTGATCAGAAAAGCTCACTTGACCCTTCGGCTCAGGTTAGCTAAAAATTAAATAGAAAATAAGTTTGACATATAGGCAGATCTTGTTTGATTCTAAAATTTCCATGCTAAAATGGGAAAATCTTGATTTTTCTTTATACCAGTGTATAAAAATTTGGTCATTACAAGGGTCGGAATTGCTTCGGGTCGTGGCTAGCATATCATTAAAAAAGCGGTATGGATCGTTTCGTTTTGTGAATGGTTCGGAACTTTTTTGTTTTGTTTTAATTGTACGGTACGCTTTTTTCAAGGAACGGTTCGTTTAATTTCTGAGGTTTAATAGCACGTTTCATATCTTGCGAAGGTTCCTTAAAATCAAAATACTTGAACAGTAGATTTCCATAATTTTTAAATTAGACCTGCACCATGAAGTCAATATAAAGGACGTATGGTATTTAATTAAAAAGTTTCTCTGCTGTAATTTTAACAGAATAAAAGCCCAGTCTGCTAACTTCAATACACCTGATAAAAGATGCTGATTTTTTTGTGCATGAACATTTCACGACTAATTAATCTTTAGAGAGTTTCAGTTGTTAAGGTACGTTGCTTATGTCCCTTATATGGCTATTTACGAGTCATTTTCAGTTTGACCCTGAAAGATCCTTTAAACTACATGTGAGCTCTACAGATCAATAACCATTATGTTTTTTGATTGGTACTGTGCAAAAAACAATTTGGAGGAAACGTTGAAACTAAATTAAATTAATGTAAACACACGATCCACACGTCAGGTGTCTGAAAACAATATATGACATAAAATAAATTAATATTGCATGTATTGTTATTAGTGTGTATTGTGTTATTTCACTGTAGTAATTACTGTTTCAGCATTATTTTAATTTTCAAAACGGACGTAAATGGAAGAACTGTGCTCGCACTAACTGAGTCATCCTCTTTTAATAAAGTATCATTATTATAATCATCCTGTAATACCGCTTAGACATTTTAAGGTCGAGGGCATGACACACCTTCAGTTCATACGCATTTTGTTCTGTAAAATAGGAACTGAATAAAATCTATACTAAAAATACGCACTGAACACAAATTATGCAATTTTCTTTCAATGACTTTGAACTTGTCAAAATGACCTTGAGTCATAGTCATGACATATTTTCAGGTCAGGAACAATCGTTGTGTGAAGAAATAAATTCTAATGTTCCTCCTTTAATAGAAATAGACTTTACACGATTCAACTGACAGACAGACAGACGGACAAAATGATTCCTATACCCCCTCCACTCCAAAAAAAAAACTTTGTTTGCAGGGGGTATAATTCATATGATAAACAAATCAATGACATATTTCAGCTACAGTGTGGAGGTCAGGGAGGTTATGTGGTGGAGATTGAATCCCAGGCAGAAAACGACTGGATCAATAGCAATATAGCACCGGGTAAGAAACAATCAGACACTAGATTAATATCATTATAACATCAGGTATGTTACAATGTAACACTACATAACACAAGTAATAGCTTTTCAAAAAAGCTTGCCTGACTAATGCAATCAATATCTAGAGAACCTATAATCATTATAATTTATTTATATAAATGGTTTTAAATGTAGTAATTAAATAAGGGAAATGAACTAATGAATTAATGTATGCTGGAAAGCCGTGCCTATATAAAGGTCCGGTTATCAATTAACTTTAAAATTAAAATTTAGAATTAGATTCAACTACATAGACTACCAGGAAGAGAGCTGAGAATATGATAACTACAAAAAAATAAATGAACATGCAGAATATGTTGGTACTAGATTGTTGGGTATGCCAGAGCATCAACGATTGTTGGAAACAGTCCGTTATGCATAAATGACCCAACGAACTTGACGGTGATTCCTTATATTCCTCAATCCTGGAATAGGAGGGACACTTTTCCTTTAGGAAGTCTATTTTCTGTGTTTCATAGGAGGAAGAATTTTATCTCTAAAAACGGGGGGGGGCTGCGAGTTCGGGCGAGATATGATCAGAAATATTATGTATATTTGGCAAGTTTTCCTCTTAAGAACATTTTTTCCGTTTCGTTTTATTTACTTTAAATGATGTAACTTCTAACTTCTTTCACAATATCACCGATATGTTTTTTCCCAAAGTTCGAATTTCCGATAAAAAGAACAGACTTGAAGTTTTCATTTCCATTCAGTGCAGTAGAATCATCCAGGAAAAGGGCGCGAAGATATACACGTGACATTCGGCGCAAAATGATTGTAACACCCCTTACCTAGAAGACAAATGGACTCATCTAATAGTACAGAAACGCAGAAAAAAGGTCAAACGGACATCTCTGTATATGAAATCGCATGAAATAAACAGCTGCATGCAAAACAAGTAAAGGAAATAAACACATCAATATATTGTATCAGTAAGACGGTTATTTTTTTCTGCTAAATGTTTTGTTGAAACGGAGGTAACAAATTACAGTGATAATCAGCATGCACAAAATTTTGCTGGCTAACTGTGACCTCTTCTCTTCGCACCTCGGAAATATCAATCCTTATACAGCCTGACGCCGTGACGTCAGGCAACTAGATTTGTTACAATGTAACACTACATAACACTAGATATGTTACAATGTAACACTACATAACACTAGATATGTTACAATGTAACACTACATAACACTAGATATGTTACAATGTAACACTACATAACACTAGATATGTTACAATGTAACACTACATAACAATATCACACCGGGTATGTTACAATGTAACACTAGATCTATAACAACAAGTAGAAATGATGCAAAGCATCAAATCGGCCGCGAACAAAATTTAGCATTTCAAAAAGTACTTTCACAATTTTAAAACTATCCATGCAATGAAAGTACAAAGTATTCAAAGTTGAAGTAGTGATAATTTTGTATTTCAGGCTGTCTTCAAAGCAAAGGAAATAATTTTTTTTAAAATTATGTATAAAATTTTAGTGCAATTTTTAGCCCATCAAATGGATTTATCGATGTAAAAAAGTCGATGATAAATGTTAACTAAGGATTTATTGTCATCAAATTGAAGATGTAGACCTCTTTACAGCTCACGATGAACCACGTGCTGATACCCTGGATCTTTGTCACATGATAATGCCCAATGTTTCTGCAGCGTAGGCTATGCTGCAAGGCGCGGTGCAATTATTTATACATGTTTGTTGAAAAAATACCCTTGTATCAATCGCAGCTGTAGCGTATTCAAAACAATTTTTATAGTTAATACCATGTCATTATTATCCGGAAAATCATGACGATTTTCATTCATATATTACACACTCCCAAGCTGGGGAGTACTTATTGTGAACTCTTTTTATTTAATCATAATTTATCAATATTATCTGATGAAAAATGATAATGAAATTGAAACATAACAAAAACAATAAATACTTAGTTTAAAGCATGTTCTTAAAATATGTTACTCATTATTTTATACATGTAATCATTTAAGAATTATTTTACTGAACTAATAGATCGGCGGCAGCTGCGGCCGATAATAAAGCACCGGGTAAGTAACAATCAGACACGAGATTAATATTAATATAACACCAGGTATGTTACAATGTAACACTACATAACACTTCTAGATAACAATATAACACCAGATATGTTACAATGTAACACTATAGATCACATCCGGTATGTTACAATGTACACTAGATAGCAATATAACACCGGGTATGTCAAAATATGATTATTACACTAGATCTATAGCAAAATAATTTAATTTTGTTTGTATTCTAGCCTATCATTGGTTGATTTTCAAAAAGGAACGTAGACTATGGGAGACAACCCCTTGACAACCAGCTGAATCATTTGTATCCATGCAATCCCCTCATTTCCAATCCTCGGGATTCATGAAAAATTCCAGATTTAATTAATGTACCTTTTACTTAACACAGTACATGGATCTTACTTTATGTAAACAAATATCATGCATGGCTGCCAGTATCAGTTATTACTTCGGCTCGCTTCCCATCACTTCCGTTGCTACGGATGTATTATTGAGCGGAAGTTTAATCTCATAAAAAGCAACTCAATTTCACATCCACTGAAGAAATGAATCAGAGGTAAAAATCAAATGCTAATAAATGACTAAAGAAAATATTTTTATGAAATTAGAAATAGTATTTATAATAATACATTGAAGATGTAGAGTAATAACTTGAAGAGTTACCTCCCCTCTCCCCTCACAATAAAACATGTAATTAAACCAGTATTGAAATAATCCATAAAAAAATTCCTCAACAAAATTAAAATATGAATTTATATTTCAACGATAAATACTTGAACAAAAATGTAATTTAAAAAAAACACATTTAAAAATTCTTCAATATGATCCCTTTTGATTAATTTCATGCAAACAAATTCTCTGATTTCTTACAGAGTTCTAAAAAATATGACAAAAATGTCCAATACTATTTCTCACTCAGAAATCCCAGCTGCATTAAGAGGTAATTAACTATTAAGTTACAGAATGGTCTAATACACCCCCCTCCTTTTATGCATCTGATATTGTTTTCATTGCAATGTCAAAAATCCCCCTAATTATTAACATGTCAAATGCATTCTACTTTGTCCGAAAATACATTTTGGTCATACAGAATAAAGAAATCCATCTGACATAGCACTGCAAAATTCACAAATTTTTATTTCATAGAATAATAAGAATATCATTGAAGAAATATGATCAGTACTCTTTCAAATTGATCAAAAGTCATTTTATTCCATGAACAGGTAGGATAATAACATTTAATAGGCCATTCCGAGTCTTTTTTCTGTTTGGCATCCAATTGCACCTTGGTTTTTGACACCTACATGTATCAGAAAATCAAACAAAATCAGAACCCCTATATACACTTGATTATTTTTGTTGAAATCTTTTGAGTTCTGTCAATTTCTCAAATATATACAATAAATATGTCATAGGTGGTGTACTTTAGGCATTTATTATTTTGATTTTGCTGAAGAATAGATATTTCTACCAGAAAAACAGATTGATGAAATAAAATCCTCAGATTTACACTATTATTATAACTATAGACATGATACACGTACATCCTGTGTTTTATTTTTTGGTTCATATTTTTTTTAACAAATAGGTACATGTAGTTAGGTTTTTGATTGAAGGTTGGACGCTAAACAGAGAAAAAAAACTTAAAATGGGCTTAGTATAAAACCGTCCTTGACCTTAGACATAAAATTACATAAACTATACCTAAAAATTATAAACAAAATGACAATGCTGCACTGGGACATAACACTTGATGCAGGACATTTTATATAAAAAGTTCAAAAAAAATTTCTGCATGAATATCTGGAGCAGCTTATTCACAAGTCTGAAAAACACTCACAGTGTAGATTATGCATAATAGAGAATATCTGTTGATTGCCCTATTACTGAACCTGACATCACAAGTTGACATTAAATTATGCATACATGTTTTTAAAAAGAATAATCTACACTCTACAGCAGTGTAATACTGCACCTGACATATACAAAACATAACATAGTGCATTAAACATGAAAGGGTGCATGTGGAGTGATCTATTACCACACCAGACATAAAACAGGGTAGATTAAATATGATTGATTGATTGATTGATTGATTGATTGTGTATTGTTTAACGTCCCCCTTGAGAATTTTTATATGAAAAATGGGAAAAAAAATCTATATGTGGAGTGATTAGTTTCCACTTTAAATGTAACACTCAATCAAGAGATACATGTACCCGGTAATATAAAGCTGACAAAGAAAAGTAGTCTATTGACTAGAATGCAACAAGCGATTCTTGTCCTGCTCTTATTTGGAAGGGATGGAAAGTCATTCTGCCCTCGACATTCTGCCCTTGAGCTGCAGTAGTTGAATCATCATCAGCATGAATGGTCTGAACTTCACATTCATATATCTTGTACTCTGTACTGATGAATCTATCTGTAATTTATAAAATTTAACAAATACAATATTATCTGAAGTCGACATCAAAATATATTTCCCACGATGTCTATATCCTATATATAGAATTTCGGTGAAAAACATGTATATGTAACAGGAAAAGAGAAAATGTATGGATGGACGGGAAGTCAAACCTGAGACCCCTGCATCACTAGTCATGTGCTATATCGACTGAGCTACCCTGGACAATATATATCCATGGCCCAAACCATTACATATTACATACCGTTTTACGTGTATATATAACTTGCAAAAGTTTACACCTCATACAGGTAAATTGCCAATTTTCTACACTTATTAAATTTGGCATAGCAAAATTTAAATGATGACTTAACCATTATCACTATTATGCTGACAGCAAGATCCCCTGGTCTGCTATCCAGCATCAAAAATGCAATTCAACTGGTCCTGTTTAGCATTCTTCATCTCTAGCTATCCAACAACACTCTTTAGCCTGGTTCCACAATTAACAGATTTCAACATCTTTATT